ATGTGTACAGGCGATGCTGAGAGTAAATGGGCTGAAGAAGACGTATACTTGGAAGCAGGAAGTGGTAAGGCGGGCCAATAAACGGGCGGCTGAGTCCGCTGGCATTGCTCAATATCATAATACAATAAATGAACTTGAGACTAAAGCTGAGCTAATGTCACAGGCGGAATCCATCAAGCGGCTAACGGCTGCTCTTGCTGAGGTTGTCTAGAAGGCCACAAATCTTAAGGCGGCGCTGGAGAATGCCCAGGCGGACCTCAAAACTCTATAGGACGCCGACAAGGACAACACCACTCTCCGAGCAAACGTCGACCATCTGAAGAATAAGATGGCTGCTTCCCAGGGCAACTTCAGAGCAACTCTGGAGGCTAAGCAAAGCCGCCTCATTGAGGAGAATGAGCAAGATTGCGAAGACCGGATGAGGATGTCCTGGGACCTTGTGCATCAAGATGCTTATTATGGCGTCTGGTCCTTGGCCTATCAGTACGCATATCTTGTTCTTTCTGCAAGGGCTGAAGGGAAGCCGAAGCCCTGAGCCGTTTAAGGAATGGGCGAACAAGGAGGCCTCAGACGCTGAAGAGCCAGCTCAAGCCGCAAGGGAGGGTGAGGAGGAAAAGCAACCGAAAAACGAAGCACAAGTGAATTCTGCTCTACCTCTGCCTGGGAAGGATGCGTCGGCTGACCCACCTCAGTAAAATTAGCTTTTGTTATTTCTATTAGGCCTTTGGCCGTCTGCAATTCCGGCCTGTGTCGAGTATCTCTGTACTTGTTAACAATCTTTCAATTTCCCGGACGTAGATTCAGTTTTAACACTTACTCTCCCGGCCTTTTGGTCGGTCTTTATTTTATGAAATTGCTGACTGAGTCAGTTTTGTCAAATTTGCTTCAATTTTCTCGATTCTTCATATGCATAGATTCTTGCTAAATATTTAACTTGCTTTTTTCTATGATTTTTTTCACTATACCGGCTGTTTTTGCCCCTGGACGGTTGTGCGCTTGGTTTCCAAGGTGAACTAATTGACTTGGAAATTTTTGATACCAGTAAGGGTATGACTAATTCCTTAGTCAATCAATTACTAAGGTGATTGCCCCAAACCAAGCGTTCAGTCGTTCATCAAGCATCCAGATAGGATATCAGACGGTCATTGACCGTATCAATATTGCCGAAAGGCTTTTTATTTCTTGGTTAGTTATCATGAGATTTTAATCTAAGTTGGAATGACGGCCGGTTACCGGCTGGTTTCAATTAGACATGCGGTTGTTTATGCCGTTTTAGGTCCCATTTCTGATTATTCAAGTCAAACGGTTGTGAATTAGCCCTTATTGGGTTAATCAGTTTTTACCGCTTGTGTTTGAAGTTATAGAGCAATGTACCATCGGGATGGGAGATGCTCTTTGCGACGAATTCACCCTGATGGGCGTCGCCGGATGCAAACTCATGTTGGATCAGACGATGATTTTTTAATATTATCTGGCCATTGGCCTCATCAGATCGTTCTAAAACGAACAATGCTTAGCTGCTAAGTTTTTGGACTTAGCTTATATTTATTATTTGGAACTTTACCGCCTGTATTGCCCATATGCAGTAGCAGGCGTTAAACGGTGTATCAAATAAGGTTGTATCCAACCAAGATAGTAGTCAGTTACCTTTTGTTATAGAACAGGCGGTAACCTTTAGCATCTACGAGCTTATCTTAATCCAGACAGTCGGTAAAGCCGTTTTTTGAGTATATAGAGCAATGTTCCACTCGGATGGGAGATGCTCTCTGCGACAAATTCACCCGGATGGGCATCGCCGGATGTCTACTCATGTTAGAGCAGACGTTGGGTTTTAATAAGGCTATTTGCACATTGCACAGACAGTATTCCCATTGAAAGATGCTTACTGTTAAAGCAATAAAAATCGTTGAAAATAAAAAGCAACTTTTATTGATGGGCTCTTTATTTACATAAATTTACAAGTCTTAGAAGTAGTAAATTTTTAAGTTATCTACATTCCAAGTTCTGGCTAGCTACTTGCCGTATGAAGTTTCCAGGGCGGAAAGTGTTGCATCTCACTTCTTCATAGATCTGATAGTGTAACAACCTAGAAATTTCTTTCCTTCAAAATACTGTTTTTCCCTTTTTAAAATACAAAATAGGAAAATCTAAGACATTATTGCCATCGTGAAAACGGCTAAGGCAACTATCAAAGACACAAAGCGGAAGACTATTTTTATAAACCATTTCAAAACAAGTCAACTTAAAAAGTCAAACCAAACGAAAGTAAAGTCAACTAAGTCAACCTACAACTTGGAACCATTGTAGGCCTTTAAAACCAAACAATACTGAAAATCTTTGTGTTAGTCTCATGAGAATAATAAAATAAATAATTTCAAAGCAAATAAACACATCATATTCCTAAGGAAACTAAGCATGATTCGCTCTTCACTCATGCCCATTCATGAATATGTTTCATCACCTAAAAAGCTCCTCTTTTTACTTGCCCCCACTACTCGTCATTAGAAATGGGTCGTCGTAGGGCCAAGGTAAAGACAAGGCCACACAAACATACTAACACACAATCAACAATGTTGAGTACATAAGCGTAATAAAACACACTAAGATGCTTTCATCTGATCAACATACAACTTACCTTCTTGCTCCTGTAAACAAGCATACAAGACATTCAACACTTGACTAGAAAAATACCAATGTCCATTTAATTTAATTACGCATCGAACAGGTTTCCCCCTAACCTTCCCCAATAAAGGGGTACTAACATGGGAGCAAACCGTGCCAGTATAAAAGAACCACTCATAAGTGGAGGAATTCCTGTGCATAATAAAAAGGAATATACAGCGTCCTGTACTCCTAGTAGAAGCTATGGTTAAATATAAAACCCCATAACTCGCCCTATATGTTCATACTCAAGGTATATACGTTCCAAGAGTTTTGGTGCGTAATCTCTTTCACTTTACGTTGCTTTACATATTATTATATTTGGTGATGACTCTCAAACCATGACACAATCAAACATTATAGTTCATTCGAGCAACCAACCATACCAATTTAATTCTCGAATAATTAGTGACCACATAACTTTAATGTTGAATCCTTTTTAAACTACCTCGATGTCAAAGACACCTTAAACGTATAATGCGCCACAAATCCTATCTCTCGGTGTTAGAAACACCTTAAGTGTACTTAGGCACCAAAAGTATAATTTAATCCTCGTGTACATAGACACTTAAATAGCTCATTCCTCATGCTTATAGCATCTATAAAAATTATATGAACCATAATAAAATTTTCTTTTCATATTCCAAACAAATTAAACATTTAGTTTAATTAAACATGGTCTTTATCATGCCAATAATAAAAGTGTAGTTCATAATCAACATGCCAATATAATTACTTCCAATCACCAATTCATCATAAATAATTCATACATCACAAAACTTTTACCAACATCAATCCAATCACAAATTCCAACCAATACCTATCATGATGCTACTTGGAATTAATTTATCAAAGCCTAGCATGCTTCTACATATTCGAATAATTACCAAGTACGCAAACGTACCTTGAATATGATGTCAAGATCGCCACGACTAAATAAAATCACTCACTTGGAAGTCTCCTACAATACAAAATACATAAACTCAATTATTTCCTTGATTACACAAATTTCCAGCAATAAATACCCTCTTTAAATCACTCATAAACTCTCTAAAACAAGTTGAAATTTATTTTAAAACCCTTACTTTTATTCCCAATTAATGGGTAATTAAAAATCTTTCCAAGATACATAATTATAGTTTATATATAAAAATTCCAGCATTATTAATTCTCTCTTTTATTTTTTTTTAGTTGGGTCTCACGTGCAAGTCTCCTGTAATGATGTGTTGATCGACAACTCAATTCCCCAATATTTTGTTTTACAAATTTTCCTTGAATAACTTAATTTTACTAACGAAACATGTCACAATTCGTATAAAACACCCCAAAACCTGAGAAAGGAAGGGCTAAAAATTTATATGGCAAATCAACATAGTAGTTGTATTTCTTAAAGACTACTCTGAGAAAAAGGAACTACCTACTTAGAAAACCCACATTATAATAAACTCCCTTAGCCTTTCTTCTCTTTGTACTTGTTCCTTCCCCTTTCGTTTCCCCCTCCCCCCTACTTGCTCCTTCCACAATTTTAAAGAACCCCTAAGCAAAACTACTCTTCTAATTTGCTCCTTCCCCCTCCCCCTCTCTCTAGCTCTCCTTCTTTCCCTTCTCATTTCTTTTCTTCTCCCTAAACATAAGAACTATCATTTATTAGTTAAATATATCTTTGTAAACTTAGAAATACAACTTAATAAAAAAAATTAAAAAATAAAAAAAAATTGCATTAACCCCATGTCTAGTGTAAATTAGCATTATTAAATCCCTTAATTGAAAAAATCAAGCGTTAAAATCAAGCATTATTAAACCTAATTAGCATTTGTTTCCCTAATGTCTAGTCCTCTAGGGCAAACAAAACTGTTCAAACTTAAAAATAAAAATAAAATAAAAATAAAAAATAATAATCCTAGAATAATGTACAAGTAAAAACTAAAACCTCACAAATAATCTAAAATCATTTTTATACAAAAAAACAATACTTCCATCTAGAAAACATGAGATTAACACAATTTTACAGGTATTTCTTGTTCTAAGTAGAGCCATAAAACACTTCTTCGTGTGCAGGTTGTAGCTGGATAAATCTCAACTCATTTTTTGGTGTATTGGAAGTAAATAGACATATAAAGGGTGACACTATGCAGAATTCTGGATCAAAGGCAACAATTCTGTTAACCACTCGGAACAATCCCGAAAGAGTGAACGCCATGTGAGACTCATATTGTCCTAGCTACTTTGTTCTTACTATGAAATAATAAAAAATAAAAAATAAAAAAGAAAATATGGATGTTATGATCTAGATAAATATAAACTTGATACAAAAAAATTTCTCAGACATGAAAGAAATGAGAGCATTATAAAACTTTTAATTTAATAAAAAAAGGACATCCAGTTACAAATAACCATATGGTATGATACTTTGTCAGCTAGCCAACAAACATCTTTAATACTTTGTCTAAAGTGACAATAGTAACAAGGTGCTGACTGAGAAATTGACCATAGCACATAAAGAATAAGAATGCCGAACTTTAAATTTCTACGTATGAAAGTAGAGACAATTCATTCTAAATTTTCTGAAATTAAACTCTCACCAATTTAACGGGTTCCACACTTAGGTCTTAATGGAACTCAAGTGGCTACTACATCCGAATCTAACGCCCAGTGGTGGAACCTTACCACAATGCAGGTGATATTGTTAGCATTACCATGGTTAAAAGCACTCTCGTTAATTTCCAAGCAGTTGTTTCTGGTTCTTCCTCTGCCCAAGCACTTGAAACAACATCCTGACCACAAAGCAAGCATAAATAACTCAAGCTAATAGGTAGAAAAAACTGAATACAATCTGATGCAAAAATCAATAGAAGACACAACATAAGCGAGCTAATGGAAATTCAATACAATTCATTCACATACCCGTATACTTCCTCTGTTCCAATAATATTGCAACAAGGCTGAAATTACGCATCCCAAAGCACATTTAATATGTTAAATATCTATAATTTTATAAGCGTAAATTTTATAAAAAGTTGATATAGTGTAAGAATTTTACGAGACAAATCTAACAAGATTCCACATGAATATATTTTTACTAAATATATAAATCATAATGTGGTCAAACAAGCATGATAAATAGTGCAAAAGTCCAATTGTTGCAAAATTTGTGGAACGGAGGAAGTATTAATCAATCAACTTAAAACCAAATAACTTTTTTAGGCAGCTACAAGAAAACTGTAGAAGGAAACTCAACCCCATCAATACCCTCACTTTCACCATTACCATGAACAAAAGCAGCCTTTTCATATTTTAAAGTTTTTAGTGCCTTTAATCCAGCACCAGAAGTACGCCAATTAGACCTGCATTTTCATATAATAAGTTTCAAATGAAGATGAAAACTACCAGCTCGAAATGTTTTAAACTTTGAAAAAAGGTTTAAAAAACAGAAACTTACACTTTTATCAATACAAGACCAGTACTCAAATTACTATCCTGTGCAGCACTTATGTCTACCCCTTCATCATCCTTGATCCAATTAACACATGCCACAAAAATCTGTCCACCTTCTTTAATACAAAGATATAAACCCTCGTAATATGGGTAAATCAATAACCTAAAAACATGAGTAAATAAGCTGCACAACCCATTTTTGGAAATAAGAAATGCTTACTAGCATTGTTTTTCAATCTTCATGGGTGGACATCCCTCATGCCTCATCTTGGTACTGACATTGGCAGCGATATTAAACCCCAATCGAACTCCTACATTTTTTCAATATATTATTTAATATAATTTTTCAAAAAAATAAAACAACCCAGAATCACAGATTAATTACGAATCTAACATAAAATAATTCCCAAATTAATTACAATAAAAAAAAAAAACACACACACACCAGGTTAGCCTTGTTAACATCATTCCTGGTGGTTTTTCCTTCTCGCAAATCTTAAACATCAATTTAAGTATTCAAATATACCATATTGGATAGGGTATTACATTCATATTTTATAATATTTCACAATCAATCAATCAAAACCTTAATCCCATAAGTGAGGTCGGCTACATAAACCAAAAGTGATTATTCCAATAAAATATTCTCTTAAAAGTGTTCTTGCATAGTCTCTAATTTTCTTCCTTGCCTTCCTTCTCCACCAACTTCTTATGTATCTTCTATGGTGATGTAGACTTCAGATAGCTTATTCAAGCAGTCATTTCTCTTCCTCTCTTTCCGTTTTAACTTTTCATTATGATTTTGTACATTTCATAAAATCTTAGATTGGTTCTTACCTATGACTTTGGATTTCCATAAATAAACTATACTCCAATACTGCTTTCTTAGAAATTTGTTCCATGAAATAAACTATACTCCAATAGTGCTTTCTTAGAAAGACTCAATATATCTTCCTTTATTTTCCTTTTAAAAATATAATAGTATTAAAAGTCCTCTTCTCTCTTTCCCAACCCTTCTATCACCTGGTTCACTCTCTTTCAACACATATCTCTTTCCCGACCCTTCTCTTTCCCACACCCCCTCTTTATCAATCTCTTTCCCCCTTTATTGTTCTCTCTCTCTAATTGCCCCCCCATTTATTACCCTCTTTAAAAAGAATTTCTTAAATGATCTTTATCTCTTACCCTATTTCACTTTTGATATGGTTTTTAAAACGTGCTCTCACTTTTCTAGTTCTCTTACTATTTCTCCCCTTATTTTTTATTAATTTGCAAATATCATAGTCAATTCATACTTGCATACTCCTAATTACCTCTTCCTCTCTTTCACTCACCTTTCATGTTTTTGAGAATTTTATTAAAAGTCTATAAAAGAGTAATTTATTTCTTTCTAATAATTTAAAGTGCTCTTATATATTATACTTTGATTTTCCCTCTATCTTTCTCTTGATCTCTTCCTTTTCCTGTACACATTCTCTCTTGTGTCCTCCCTATTGTTCAAGCTTTCTTTCCTATACTTTTTCCCTTACTCCTCTTTTTCTCTTCTTCCCCCTTCTCCCCCCCCCTTCCCAAATCCTTTCTCTCTCTATATTTTGTTTTATAATTATGTGCGTCTAAGAAAGTCTTTTCCATTTTTTGCTTATTTCATAGTCTTATACCTTAATATTCTTAGAAGTATCTTTTTCGTATCTTTCTTACCTAACATTGTCTCATCTCCTTCATTCTTGTTTGCTCTCTCCCCTACCTTACCTTTCTTGCTAACTTCTAATCTAACTTTTACGACTAATTGAAAGCCACTTCCAACATGACTTTGAGTTTCCATAAAATTTACTACACTCATTACCATTCTTGTTCAACTAAAAATATGTAAAAGAAGCACTTATTGCACACTTAATGCAACAGAAAAGTTGATTGGTTAATTAATGTGCAACAACAACAATAAGAAAATATACACTGAGAATAAATCTGATTAAAGAAATAAAATGCTTTTTAATGCAGCAAGATGCTTGCATCCTTTACCTCAACTATCTAGTAGATGATGCTATTTCAGTAGCAAGCTTTTGAATCTTGGCAAGGATTAAGACAATGGTTAAAAGCTAAAAGCATCCCTCTACATGAAAAATTATGTTCAAGAGTCAATATACGAGGATAAAGTATATCAACACCTGGTTTAATGGTACCAAAGGTGATAGGACTTAAAAAGGTCTATATTCATTGTAAAATTTGGTAATTTGATTTCTAAGTTACTAAAGTAGACATTTCAACATTCAGTTTGCTATACAAACACTCAATATGCTTCCATTGGTTTTTAGATATACTGCTTGCAACTACATAGATTTCATCCAGTAGAAGAGGTTATTTTCAAGGCGATCATCCACATTCCCCTGTTAAAAGTAGTAATCTAGCTACTCAAGATGCAAATGACCACTAATAATGCACCTAATTTTTTATATTAATGACCTAGGTACATTTTATAGTAGCAATACCCAAACTATGCATCTAAAAGAATTTAATTTCAACATACTTGCTTGGACATGGAGACTAAAAGGGCCTCCCAAGCTCCCAGCCATATATATGAGACCGGAGAGAACATCATCTTTTCCCTCCCAAATACGAAGATGAGATACTTCTATCTTAATGTAATTGTCCACAACCTATTACCTTCTCACACCTGTAATCCAATGCAGCTAATAGTATTGCACCAGTTATAATTTATAAACAGATAAGTTGGACACACGAGTTATAATCAATTGAACTATCCTATAAGCACCAAGCAATGAAATCCATTGATCTAGTAGAGAAGCCATTTAACACAAGGGAGATTGTAAAGACTACAAGCAAAGAAGTATGAAACTCTAGGGATTATCAAATACACATAAAAACTTACATTTAGAATAGAAGGTTCTGGCAATAGGCACTGGACGGGTTTATCATTGTCAAGAGGCCCAACTGGATGCTCAACAGGTTTAAATTCTACACCTACATCTATACCATCAGCAACAGCTGGCTGTGCAACCTCAGCCCCCATGTGCTCTGGAATCGGGGCTAAGACCTCCCTTAAATCCTGTGCCATTCACATGAGAAAACCGCAAAAATAAAATCACAATTAGCAATTAACAGTCATTGAATTATGACAATTAACTACAAACAGCATGAACTTGAAGAACAGTAACAATGAAGCACCCATCAATTGAACAAATACGGTAACAATACCCATCAATTGAAGATACCAGAAGTAGGTCAGTAGCTGCCATAAGTAGGTAAAGATCATAAATATTGATGATCTTTCCAACAATTGATTTGCTGCAATGGAAGTTGATTAATCCAGAAGACTTCAAGAAGAGGTAACCCGAAGCTTGAGTTTTGTCGTTGCGAACTGTAATCTCGAAACCCTTTTCAGTGATGTCCACCATTGCTGTACCATTTGAGTTGAAATCGGAATCGGAAAGAGAAGCAAGTGAATGTTGGAGTTTGCTTGCTGGGGCTACTTGGATGTTAATGACTTTTTCTGGGTTTTTCTTTGAAGGTTCAATCATGGTTGAATATGAGAAGAAAGAAGAGAGGAAAAGAAAGGAAAATTGACTGATTTTTGGATGAAGTTAGTTGCAGAGTAAAACAGACTAAACAGAGTGTGGAGAGTAATATGAGTGGAGTTAAAGAGGTTTTTTTATTTATTTATTTTATTTTATTTATTTATTTAATTATTTATTTTTTTTAATTTTTAATAAAAGGGTTTTGTTAAGGCCTAATAATGAGCAAGCGTAATGAAATTAAATTTATTTGTTGGAAAGGGGTGAATTGATTAAGGCCACCTTATAATTGGACTAGCAATTGTATGTAACTTTTTAGAGTATAAAATGTTTTGTAAACTCTAACACTTGGTTAAAACCTTTTGATATTTGTAAGAAAGAATTTAAGACCTTAGATTTTTAAAAAAGAATTTATTTTGTATTTTATTAAAAATATAAGAAATAATTCTTTTTCTGCAATTTTGACACATTACATAGCTAGGGAATCGGGACTAGCTAGACCCAAATCACATGAGTCAGACCCAAAGTTACAACTCACAATGTACTCTTTTATAATTTTGTTTTCATGTATTGTGGGAAGCAGAGAAAGGGATAAAAATAAACTTCTTATTTCCTTCCAAATTAATGCTCCTTATTAGGTGAGGGAGTGGAATAAGGGGGTGCAACCAATCTACATTTATAACCTTAATAAAATGAAATGCTAAGATAGAAGGGGAGCATGATTAGTAAATGTATTATGATAATAAAATTTCACTTTTGATAAAATTTTACGGAGAATCACTTTTTCTATCTTTATTTAAATTTCATAACTTTATCCTATCCCTATCTTTATAACTCTTAACTCTCATACCAAACGTCTCGTACGGCTCAATTATTGTCTTAGTGAACTGCTCAAATTCATATCCAAATGTCCACATCCTACTATGCATAGAGCTAGTCATATATAAATAAACATGGTACATAGCTTATGCTGATTTTAACAGAACTCGACATGAAAAAGCACGATATGAGCTCATTATTATGCATGTTAAGCCATGAGACCGACATTGACAGATTTTTCATTTTTTTCGTTTGTAGAATAATTATGTTAAGTAATGACTCAGTACGATAAAAATACACTAAAATAGGTATAATTTAATTAATGCGGGCACACAGACACAGAGTGGTGACAAAGTAACTTTGTGCATCTAGGCCACAAATTTAAAAATTTTGACACATGACGTAGCTAGTGAATCGGGTCTAGCTAAACTCGATCGGTTCTAGCTAAACCCAAATCACATGAGCCAGACCCAAAGTTACATCCACAACCAACTTTAGTTATAAATCCAATTCCAATCCCCAAACAAATCTTATTTATTCTATTGTCCCCCTAATTGTAGATTTATTGTGACAAATTTAAGTCAATTATGATGTGGAGAAAACTTTACAAACTCTAAATAAAATGCAATTAGGCGGTTAAAGTAACTAACATGTAACTATAAAAAACCCCTCTTATCAACTTTTCATTCTACTCTCTTTACTTTGTTCTCTTATTAAACCAACTTCATCGTAAATATTAAGAGTTAACAAAAATTCTTGAAATTCTTGTTTCATTCTTTTTTAAACTGTTTTTCTTCTTCAATCATCTTCCTCAACCATGACTGAACCTTCAAGCATTAACCCAAAATTCATTCCCAAATTCAAACTAACCCCAAAAATCAAGATGAATCACTCAATGATATCCTTTTTCTCCTACTCT